ACAGCCTGAGGGTCTTCTCCCAGGGCTCCACCTGCAAGGACCGGTTGGGCCAGCGGTGGTAGAGCCGGTAGCCCTTCTTCTTGATGAGGTAGGTGTAGAACTTGGTGGCGGCGAGGAGGACGGGCTTGCGGGTGTCATGCCGGGGCAGCTGGACCGGGTCCGTCGTGAGGAAGAGCACCCGGGGGACGTCGCAGTGGTCGCGGAATATCCGGTGCAGTCGAGGGTCGAGCGTGGGACCCTCCATGCCGTCAATGGGATCTGCAATGTATAAGGGGGGGAGGGGGAGATGGCCTGGGTCAATTGGGGACAATCGAATAAGGCACGGACCACAGAAATCGGCAGGGGATGCAAGATTGGTTTTGATAATATTAACTCACACGTGATATGGGGGTATAGTCGCGATGCACTTTCCTTTGAATAGAGAGGAATTTTTAATTTGTAAGAACACAAAAGAATAACATTGATATAAGACAATTCCAAAGGAAAGTAATTGTATCACTAAGAATACAAGAGCCACATTTTTTATTATATTGCTTGTTCATTTTCTCTCTAAAAAAAGAGAAATTGCATAATTTTAATCTATAACTATATTGCTTGTAACCATGATAGGCCCCTCGCAAATGAAGATCAATATTAATAATCTAACATAATACTTAAACTTCGTGGTGCCCTTGATAGTACAAGAGGACAGTTATTTACAACCAATTAATTGGACTAAATTCCCCCCTCTGCAACTTACAAATGGAAAGAAAAAAAGGCGTAGGAACTAGAGCATATATCTCACGCAGCCGATGTCTATTTTGTTTTGTTTTTTAATGGATCAGTAACGCTTTTATTTCGTTTAAGCCAAGGAATGATATGTTGAATAGATTTCCTAGGGGTAGATTTTTTATTCTTTTCCTTGCTGTGGCTAGGATGGGACCCACAGAAACAGGATGTTTTTGCTTTTTTCTCATGTGATAGGCGAGGTGGGGTTGGAAATTCGATAAAGGAGCTCCCTGATGGTGATAAAGAAATGCGAGGCTGGTAAGCAGTGCGATCGGCACCTGTATTAGGAATTGTGTTCGTGTGGTTGTTTGGTCGATAGAAAGTACTTTGCCCATTCGTTCCTTCCGGGTGGTCAGACTGATGCGTCGCGCTAGGGGTCGGTGTAGAACTTGCTTCCACAAACGGCTTGTAAACTCGAGGGGATTCGGGTTGAGTATGGGGTTTGCGCGCGTTCGAACTATTGCCGTGTTTATGAGGAAGATATCCTCCCATTGTCTGGGTCGGCTCTGCGAAGGGTTCGGGTTCGTGAGAGGTGGACTGAGGCACGTATTCCGTACAAAGAAGCTCTTTAATCCCTCTGCTCGGTGTAGGGGTCTTCTTCGTATTGGGATTCCATAAAAACCGAATGGAGGGATCGGCTGGGGTGCTTCCAAAAATGGACGTCGTCTGTGGGGGGGATGGCCGACCTCCCTGTATGGACGGGTGCGCGGAGTTCTGTGGTTGGACCGCCGAGTTGTAGTAGGGGATGGGAGAACATTTAATAATTTGCGGTGGATGGACCGGGGATGGATTCGGGGATTCTATCGAACTCTCGTCTATCTTTGGAGACATATTAGAACCCACGGAAGTGACCGGGAAGGTCCGCTTCGTGGTGAAGCGGTGGGTGGGTCCTGCGGCATCCGGGCTACCTAACTCTTCCTCCGAGAGTTTCGGCCGCGCGGCCTGCAGTTTTTCCTTCTTTTCTCGAGGTGTGAACTTCTCGGCACTACTGCCACGAGCGGAAAGAATATCCTGAAGCGACTTCGCCGCCGGTCGACGGGGTTTCTCATCGACTTCTGCATGAGGAGTGGCCTTATTTTTTGTTCCCACTACCGAAGAAGAACTGAATCGCGGAAGGGAATCGGCATGAGAGCAGGTACCGATCCGCCGCGAGTTCTGCATAACGTCGAGTACGGATGAAAATGAGGGGATCTCACGATTGATGTTTGCCCGCGACGACGACGATTTATTGGTTGATTTATCAAGTGGTTGGCCCTCAACATTTCCCACTGCATTTTGCTTTGCACTAAAATCTTTTGCCAGCCGTCCGTTTTCATGCGCAGTGAAGGCTAGTCGATTCGGTGATAAATGCGTGGAGTCGACCTTTGGGGTCGCGCTTTGTGACCTCAAGCGTTGTGTAAACGAGGAGGGATGTACGGCCTTTTTAATTTCCTTTTCATTACTTTCCCCCACATCCCGCATTTTGGATAGGGGCACTTCTTTCACGGGTCTCAATGAGGCGCTGGGGGAAGAAAAGGTCTTTCGGATTGTTATCGGATGCCCGACTTTGGAATATGGCGACGGATTGACATTGCCGCTTGTTCGACTTCGCGTAGGATCGTTAGCAGTTCCCGTCGAATTTCCGTCCACCGCACGAGGCTTCGGTGAATCACCAATAAAATAATTCCGCGGCTTCGTAGCTGAGTCTTTGGAGGTCAGAATTCTTTGCAAAGATGGAATAATCACATCATTGGAACTTGGGTCGTGATGCACGGTCCGCCGCTTTATCGCCTCCATCAAGTTCTGCTTCTCATTTAGCAGCTTCAGCTCGATCTTCTTGAGGGACTTCTCCTTCTCAAAAATTGCCTGACAGGTTGCCGCGACCGCGAGCTCTAGATCTTTGCTCGTCGGGGCCTCGAAATGGAATGGTCTGCCAGGACCCTCCTCGCCCTCGGGATCGAAGGAGGACGACGAACCGGACGCGTCGCTGTTAGTATGGCCCGAATAAAAATATTCGGACTCGGATGGGATCGGCGTTAGCCCCCGCAGGGGAGTTCGCGAACTTCCCGGTCGGTTGTTGGGCCGTGGGGATTGCCGCGGGGCGGGAATCCCGGCTTGGGCGGCGTGGCGCATTCGCCGCGCGGAATCGCCGCGGGAAAACTGAAAGGCGGAGGACGGCGAGATGGCATCCTCAAAGATGGTGCGCGATAGCCTCTGGCTTCCTGCCGTGGGCGCCTGAAATACTTTGATTTTATCTCTAAGATAGGTCCCGTTGGACATTTTTAACTTTGGGAGGGGGAGGGGGGGGGGGGAGGGTTTAAAAATAAGGTGTCAACCAAATCGTACCCCACAATGGACCCAATTTCCTAAAAGTACTAAAGATCATGGAAGAGGGAAAGCAGCTGTGAATTTCTTATTATATTTTTTGACGAATTTAACTGATCCGATCAATGAGGTTATATAGGTATGCAAAATGAATACCTCTTAAATAAAGGGATATTCGAGAATGACTTCCAAGCGAAATTTTTACATTGCATCATCTGAAAAGCGCAAAAAGAAATACTGCTTTGTTAAATATATAAGACTTCTACAGTTTGGCTAAGAGTGTTTCTACCGGCATATTTAAGCTGAGTTATCTCATTCAGATCCATATATGCGTCGCCATAACGAACACAGATTTCCTTCTATGTCATAAGCTTTATATTTGATGTGATTTAAATATTTTCTTTTAAAATTTGGAAGTGGTGACAACCACTCAGATGCAAGGGAATAACATTCACTGTCGAAGTCAGATACTGCGTTTAGAATTATTTTTTTTACTCTGTAAAAAAAATTAGAAACGTCGCACATTTGCCTTAACACATTCCCAACACTTGGATCCAATAGTTTTTGTTACCTGCTACCTCACAAGTGGGATCAGGAGACAACTAGCATCTCTACGATAAAAAGAATGGATATCTGAATTAGAAATATCATTCTAACAGCAAAGCTAAAGAGAACCTAAACAGAGCGAGGGTACGCTTACGGGTTCATTTGCTTTCTTTTCATTGTTAGATTGCGAAACCGAGCAATTTGAAAATAAAACGCCACTTTCAAATTGAATTCTGGATGGTGAAAAAAGACTGGTTAGAATAACCTTAGCGCCTACGACGAGGTATCCGGCTCCATCCAAATCCGCGCCCGGAATGTCTTGTACAAATCCCTCACTAAATTCCGAAAATCCAGCCGCTGTTGGGCTTGATAAAAAAAAGTCAACTTCCGGCGGTCAAATTGGTACTCCGCATCGACGATTCGCATGTTTAATCCGTGCTCTTGGACCTTTTCCTGGGCCACCTCGACCGCGCGGGCCTCCAACTCCGTTTGGACGCTTTGCAGTTGGGTCACCTCCATTGCGGTGGCGACGCGAAGGACTTCGCCGACGCCTTTGGAGCAGGCGCGGTCGGCCGAGTTCACGGCGTCGCCGTCGGGGGTCCGCGAGTGGGTCACCAGCCCGATATCCTCGCCCCGATCGCCCCCCACCACCACATATTCCCCCGGGGCCACATAATAGGGCGAGGCGTACTGCAAAATGCGCTTCCGCTTGAACTGGACGAGGACCTGGCAGGGGAGGTTGTAGTCCGTCGGGGGGCCCTGGGGGTCCTCGTGGTCCGCGCTGGCCTCCTTGCCGTCGTCGGTGAAGGGGTCGTAGTCCACCGGGCCGTGGCTGACGGACGGCGAGACCCGGTGGAGCCCCGCCGGGTCCTCGGAAAGGGGCAACATCGGCGTCAGAAGCCCGGCCTCCCCGCTCAGGTGGGCCTCTAATTGCTGAAGTTGGCCCATAAATGAGTGATAGGCGGAGTGCAAACTTGCGGAGGTCATTTGGTACCAGTGGTCGATCAGGCGCTGCGTGTCATCGATCTCCTGAAGAAAAATCGGGTTCATCATTGGTAGTGACTTTTTTTTTGTGAAATGAAGGGGAAAAAAAGGGGGGGGGAGGGGAAAGGGGGGGAAAAAGCGATAGATATGGAAGTCTAATGCTTGAGAAATGGAATATGGTGGGATACTACTACTACTTATACTAATAATAAATATACTAAAATAGGAGTTCAACGTGTGAGAAATGGTAAACCCGCATTGTGAGGGGGGGAGTACAGAAATTCATGTGAGGCTGTCACATCGCGGCAGGCACAGCATCCAAAGACGATGAGTCCGGGATTGGCTTTCCAAATCTGAATTTCGATTTTAATTTACACATATCCAAAACGAAAAAGAAGAGAAAAATAAAAATAAAAAATATCCAAAAATGGATCCAGGGATAGCAAAAAATATACTTAAATAGTGCCATAGCTACCAGGTCACCAAGGGGTCTCGATCCTCCTCGGAAACATGGAAGGTTATTTCGCCCCCCAGCTCCGCCCGCAATCTCGGGAGAAGAACCTTCTTCAAGTAGCCTCGCTCGGTATTGGTGTGCTCGCACAGAATCACCGCCCGGTTCATCGCATTCGCAGCGAGGACCTCGTGATGGCCCATTTCCCCGGTCAAAAGCAGATCCACCGGGCGTGTTAGCCCCGCGAATACTGAACTTCCGCTCCCCGCGCAGACCGCGATGGATTGAATCGGGTGCGTCAACGTCCAGGACGCCGGCAATGCCACCCGCACCGTCGAGATTTCCAACTTTTTCTTCACGTTCTCGACGATTTTGTGAAGCAAAATGGGGGCCGCGAGGGTCGAGACTCGGCCATAGCCCGTTTCCGCACTTCCCGACCCGTCCGCCGCCTTCGCCACGATCGGCGCCCGGTTCGCCACCTCGCCGACGGAGGAGCTCAGCAGCCAGTCGTTAATCCCGCCTTGGACGGCATCCAAGGCGGTGTGGGGGGAATAAATGGACATCCCCTCGCGGACGGCGCGGAGGATGATGTTGGTTTTCGCATCCCGCAGAAGAAGACGCCGCATCGGTTTGAAAATGGGCGGGTGATAGGCGAGGATGACCTCCACTTTCTTCCCCACACACTCCTCCAGCACCTGCGGGGTGAGGTCGATGGTCAGCATGACGACATAGGTGTGGTTGGACTGGGGGGACTCGACGAGGATGCCAACATTATCCCAAGAGCTGTCCGCGAGCGCGAGCGGGGCGATCTTCTCCATCGCCGCCGCCACCTTTGTGATTAAAGACATGTGAAATAAAAATAAACTGGTTTTTAATTGGGGGGAAGGGGGAGGGTTAAGAGGATCACAACTTCCAATAACTCATTCTTATGTCATAAAAATTGAAGATCCAGAAAGAGAATTAAGTTGGGGCTCTGTCCAACATGCATAGATCAAAAGGAGGATCGTCGGAGTCGTTAGGAATACCCACCATAATGCGTGCCAACGAATAAATTTATACACGGAGAGAGAGGGAGAATAACTTCTAGCAGTAAATAAAACATAGGAAGTTTATTATGCTTTAAAAATGATGAGACTTTCGTCGCTTCCATTCTAGCCACCTGAAGGTGTTGTGCGCCGGCAACATCAACTCGGACGGCCGGCATGCCGAGGGGGGGACGGTAAACCACTCATCCTGGACAAGTTTATCAGCCCGCAAACGCTCCGACGGCTCGAGCTGAAACATCTTCGACATAAAAGCGACCTCTCGGGGTTGGATGGAAAGGCTCGAACACCGCGATGCCAAGGTATTCGGCTTGCCAAACGGCACCCCTACGATCGACGAATGGAAGCCTTCCCGTGCGTAGATATGGCTCTGCGGGGACGGCGAGCCGAGCCAATCAAAAATACTAGAAATGGCCTCCACCTCATTATGCCCACTGACAAACAACGTCCCACCACTGAGCATCTCGAAAAGAATGCACCCGCAGCACCAAATATCCAACGACATTTGATATCGCGTGGCGTGGGACCCCACCAAAAGTAGCTCCGGAGGCCGATAATTCACCGTACACGGCGGCCCCGTCAGTCTTTGATGAAGGTCCGAGGGCAGATACCGCGACCAGCCAAAATCAATCAACTTCAAAATGCCATTCAGGTCGACCATCACATTGCTCGGCTTGAGGTCGCGATGAATCACTTTGTGTTTGTGCAAGTACGCCACCGCCTCGAGGAGTTGCTTAAAAAGACACTTTATCACCGGAAGGGGCATCCGCACCGCGTTGGTGATTTGGCCCGAGGCGCTGACGTTCTGCCAATGCCGCATCAAAGAAACCAAATCGTACGAAATAACGGGCATAAACATCATCAAAGTCCCATTTGGCAGGATATGATAGTCCATGGCTTGCACGATGTTGGGGTGGGAAAGCGTGGTTAAGAAATGAAGCTCGCGGAAGGTGGTGTTGTGAAGCCCAAAAAGCGAGCGTTCGCTGCTGTGCAGAAACCGGATCATGCGCTTCATGGTTAAATAGGTCTGGGCTACGGTATCGTAAACCAGAAATACCTCCCCAAAACTACCCTCACCAATCTTTACGAGTTTGCGATAGCGAGTATTGATCTCATCAATTTTCGGAAATAAGGATACCGAAATTCTATTGTTGAGCGAAGTGGCCTGAACGACTAGCGCGTTGTATTGCTCCATAACCGTGTGCGTGTACTGTTCAGCCTCCTCCACCAGCTCATGATGAGGCGAAAAAGAACGCTTTCGCTTTAGTGAACTAATAAGGGTGTAATCCCGTTCGCATTTGCTATCTATAGTGGATTTTTCCATTGTGAGGATCACCCTCCTTATGCATAATATTGACTGTATAAATCAATCCCCTAAAAAAACAAAAACAGGGGATGACGTAAAGAAACTCTAAAACAATGAATTGCGACAAAAAAGTCATGCGCGTGTTATTTAAAGGTGTTTAATACCAATAAAAAAATAGAGATGTTGCTGTTTTAATATTCTGATCTCAAAAATACACTATTATGCAATAAAAACTACACTAAGTGTAGTTTATATACATGTATATATAAAAATATATAAATATCAATATACATATATATATATATATATATTGATATATTGATATGTGCATATATTATTAACCAAAATTTAATATTCCAAACAAAAGAAAACGAAGATTATCTCGTTTATTTAATTCTTTAGGTGATTTCATGAAATCAGCATTGAACCATACCGTATTGGTACACGTTCCTTTATTGGAATTTCAGCATCTGTGCTCCCATCATATACGGACGAAGCACCTTGGGGATAATGACCCCCTCGTCGGTTTGAAAATTTTCACAAATCGCGCACATCACGCGCGTGACGGCGCACAGCGTTCCGTTTAACATATGGCAAAACTCCTTGGCGGCGTTGACGGAGGTCCCTTTGAGGTTGGGCCCGAACCGGCAATTCACCGATCGCGCCTGAAAGTCCGTGCAGTTGGAGCAGGACACCAACTCGCGAAACGCCCCGGACCCGGGAAACCAGCCCTCGAGGTCGTACTTCTTCGCCGCGGCGTTGTTCAGGGCCCCGGAGCAAACCGAAACCACCCGATAGGGCAGGCCCAGGCTCTCGTTGAAGTCCTGAGAGGTTTGGATAAGATCCTCCAACATGCTCCACGAGACCTCATCCCGAGGGGAACACACAATAAACTGCTCAATTTTGTCGAATTGGTGAACGCGGAAAATCCCAAGGGTGTCGCGGCCATGCGCGCCGACCTCTTTTCGAAAGCAAGACGACATCCCTGCAAACTTCAGAGGCTCCTTGAGATCCATAAACCACTTCCCTCGGTGATAGGCCGCGATGGACATTTCACTGGTCGCGATGAGGTACTTCTCTTCGCCGTCCCCGGATACTTTGTAGAGGGTCTCGTCGAAGTCCGAGAGCTGCGCGACCTCGCTGGTGACCTCTTTATTAAGAAAAAACGGCGGGTAAAAGGCCTCGTAGCCGCGCTGGATGAGAAAATTAAGCCCGTAGGAGACCAACGCGATCTGGAGCTGGACCAGGCCGCCGCGCAGGACGAAGGCGCGGCCGCCCGACATCGCGGTCACCGCCTTCGACGTGTCCATCAGCCCAAGCCGCTCCATCACGTCGACGTGGTTGAGTTTCTTCCGGCTCACGATGTCGCCCCAGGTGAGAATCACCACATTCCCACTATTCTCATTCTGGGCGACGGGGACGCTCTCGTGGATGATATTCCCCACCTCGGAAAGCAAGCGATCGCGCTGGGCGACCAGCGCCTCCGCCTCCTTTTCCAAAACCCTGACGTGCATCGCGGTCGCCTTGGAAAGCGCCACGAGCTGACGAATGCACAGCCTGTTCAGGTGCTCCGCCCTTAAGTGGCCCTTTTGCATGTCGGAAAGAATCTCCGCCGGGATGGTCTCGAGCTCGCCGTCGGGCTCCTGGGCCTTTTTTTTCCCACTGACGGCTTTACTGCAGTTGTTGATCATCTTTTTGATGGACTCCGCGAGGTATTGGGTCTCGCGCCACCGCCTGTCCAACGCGATGACGTCGTCCACCACGGCCGGGTCGGCAAACCGGCGGCGCTGCGACTCCCGTACTATGTCGGCCGTGGCCTCCTCACGGAAGAGTTTGATATCCAACCCCATT